GCCATTGTCAGTTTTACCATTGTCTTTTCCCCAGTCTAGATGATATTACAGACTCACCACAGCACACAGCCATATCTTGTCCTAGAAGACAGGTTCTTTAATTACATATAGCCTTCGACAAAACAACATCACGACACAAGGAGAAATATACTGTACATGGTTTCCTTATGTACAATTCATTTACACATAGCAATCTCTGATTGGTTACCAATTAATTCACCCAATCCAAACCTAGGATTGCATCGTTCACAATCACCTGGAGTAGGCCAAAACACATTCCCCAAATGATTCCCCATATACAATCATTGTATGACTCAGCATTCCCAATAGAAGCCTATTAGCAGTGCATGACTCAATTTATTACATTACAATACATTGTAAAACCTGACAGATTGAGAAGCCATGGTTGTCATGTTAACTATGCCACCAATGGAACCTCACTCTGTGAAGACTGTGTGTTGATTAGCTGTGCACTGACCTCCACACATGCACAGACATCTTCCAAGAAAAAGAAAAAGATACCAACCAAAGTCCCATGGCAATCAGCGAGTGGTGACGGAGGTAGGACTGTGAAATCTGGAAGCCCCTAGACTGGTACATGGGTGGTGAATATGGACTCAGTCATTCTACTTCAATGTCCAAGGCAGTTGAGTAGTTCGGCAGTTGTATCCATGACTGAGCAGACCTTTTGAGGATTCACTCTGCTCACTCCACATGGGGAGAGGGCTAGAAAAGGTGCTCTAAACATAGTCTGCTTCTCTCACCCCTGACTGGACTGCCGCGTCCAGTGGGGTCACCACCTGTGGCCAAAAAAGAAAAATGAACTTTGGAACATGGAATGTATGGACACTGATGGAGAGATGTGACCAGCAGTGGTGCAGAATTTGAAGAGGCACGAATGGAGGGTGAAAGAGAGAAACATGCGAAGAGGAAGTTGAGTCAAGCCAACTGCAACCAGGACTGCCTTCCACCTGGAAACCAATACCCTCACTGTGGGAGAACATGCAGATCAAGAATAAGGCTCCACAGTTACCTACGGACCCACCGCCAGTACACAAATCTTGGAACACAATCCTACTTGAACAACGAGGGATCTCCTAAGCAAGTAAGTACTCCTTTCAGTAAGCTTCTAACCCATTAATATAATGTTTGGTACAAGTTCTATCTTGACATGTATCTTACGGATTCCTGTTTCACTCCCTTTGGCATTTTATTACTGACAGCTTCTGCATATGGTATAAGTTTCCGTCACTCTACAGGGAACAGCATGCATGAATGGGTCCACCTAAGAAGTGACAGATGCTACGGGCAGTCCCTTGGCTTTCCCTCTGGATCCCTCTGGCCATTGCCCTTAGCTGAAGGACAGAGTTATATATGCCACATGGCCTCTCTCCTTCCCCTAAATTGGCCTGCTTCCTTAAGATGTGATGGGCAATGCAATCACACTGCTAGTATTCAACTTGCAGCTGAGGAATTTTCTGTATATAGATTGGCGGAGAGTGCCATCTTTTTCTTCATCAAAGGAAGCAAACAGTATTTATCTGAAATACATGGCACAAACTTTACATTCTTCCCTTCCTTACCAATCATTTATAGACAAGCATCTTCAATCAACATTTGACAAAAACCTTTTCCAAGTCGGTTCACAATAAGATTCCCAAGAACTATTTAAATTGACTGTCATGGTTTGTGAAAAAAAATAAGCAAGCAAAAGAGAGATAATTTCAGGCAATTAGGAAAAAGTAAAACCAAGCAGGCAGGAAAAAAAGGATATACAAGGGTTGAATGAAAAGTAATGCCTCCACCTTTGTAACTCCTCAACAGATGGCAGCACTGGCATGTGGCAGGTACTGGCTTGTTCAGTAGACTCTCCTCTACAGTTCCATTTTGGTGGGAAGCCTTAGCATTGAACTGTTATGTTGTTAAATTGCAAAGTATGGAAACCTGCGCAGACAGTCGGTCAATGCAACGTAAGCAACGTGCTGTCATTGAATTCTTGACATCAGAAGGTGTCACTCCAAAGGAGAGTCATCAGAGAATGCAAGCTGTTTATGGTGATTGTGTTGATGTGAGTACTGTGCGCTGTTGGGCGAATAAGTTTAAAGATGTTGAGGTGGGAACATCTGACGTGTGTTACAAACAAAGAGTTGGTTGTCCTGTGACAGCAACCACTGAGTTTCACAAACAAAAGGTTGACAGATTGATTCAGGACAACCATGATTCAGGACGATCATGATTCAGGACGATCATGTTCCCGATAATGAAAGAAGATCTGTGGGGACATCATTATGCTTCAGATGAAGATGTTGAGAGAAATGTGAGACGCTGGTTGCGGAAACAGTGTGTCGACATTTTCCGTGACGGCTTCAGAAAATTTGTTCATCGTTGGCAGAAATGTATCAAATTGTCTGGTGATTATTTGGAATAGTGAATAGTGGTAAAGTGCACATTCTAAGGATTATTTCTGTGTCTGATTTATTAAAATATTCCCATCCAAACCCAAGTAACCAATGTGGAGGCATTACTTTTCATTCAACCCTAGTAATATAGAGTATTTTGCATTTTGGCAGATTTCAAGACTGGAATGAATGGGAAAGTGTTTCTTTTCTCTCTCTTTTCTTTTCTACTGTTGTGTGTGTGTTTTGACAAAAGGGGAAAATGAGCACACAACCATTGAACCTGGTTCAACGCCTACGTACTTTGTCTTATTTTCTGCACAGAAAGGGCATACTACTTCTCCATGAGAGGAAACTATACATTGCAGAGTCAAAAAGCTTGGTTGATTGATTATGTAGCTTCGGAGCAAACCCAAGGGTAAGGTAAGAATTATTCAGATGAGGAATGAATGGCCTCAGCTGGCAAAAACATTCCCTCATGACCCCTTCAGAGGCATCGGCTGGAAAAGCACAGAAATCAGGTGACAACCAATGCTTCTACAACTATACTGGATAGTTGCCTTGAAATGTCAAATGGAAGACTCAATTATAAAAAGTGTCAATGTCAAAAAGTCCTATGAACAAAACAATTTATTTTGAGGCTAAAGAGGAAATCATATTGTTGGCTCAAGCTTCCTTGAAGGCGGTTCAGCACAAGGGAAAGCAAATAATTAAATAATCAGTGAAGTGAAGTGGCAGGCACTGAGAAGAAGTCAGAAAGCAGAGACAAGAGTAACTGTGTCTCTTAGTACATATGTATTATAATAATTCAGGGGAAAACATTAGAAGGCATTAATACATAGAAAGTGTTCTGCCTCTGCAGTATATGTCCTTTTATTCTATACCTATCTTGGGGCAAAATACTAGATGGCATGGTTTTGCCCAGAACAGTTTTCAAAAGCTAGCCAGTTCTCAAAGACTTTGTTGTGAGAATGGTTAGATTTATTCATTGCTTCCTTAAGAAAATTTGTGAAGAATGACACCCCTACGATCCTTGATTTTTTTCCTCCTTTTACTTTGATTTTGTACCTCTCATAGTGAACCGATGAGTTCCTTACCTGTATCTGTTGTTCTTCGAGTAGTCTTCTCTGAACTCATATAAATCAGGTTTACTGCACTTCTGCAATATGTTATTTGGAACCTTCTAGAGCAATTAGGTAAAGGTAAAGGTTTTTCCCTGACATAAAGTTCAGCCGTGTCCGACTCTGGGGTGCAGTGCTCATCTCCATTTCTAAGCCGAAGAGCCAGTGTTGTCCATAGACACCTCCAAGGTCATGTGGCCAGTAAGACTGCATGGAGCCCCGTTACCTTCTCGCCGGAGCGGTACCTATTGATCTACTCACATTTGCATGTTTTCAAACTGCTAGGCTGGGGCTGACAGCGGAAGCTCACGCTGCTACCCAGATTCAAACCTGTGACCCACTGCACCACTGGGGGCTCCTCTACAGCAGTTACATGTAGGCAATAGTCCCTCCTCTTCAATCACTGTATATGGTAAATAGATTCTATTTCAAATTGTCGAATAATTATAGGAAAATTAAGATTTAATAATAATAATTGGGACTGGGAGCAACATATGAGAATATAATGTTATGAATGCATCCCTGTTCGTGAATCACTGGAAACAACACAATAATAAGGCAGTGTAGGGTATTTTTGTGGTGGTTTTGAGAAAGAATCCCAATACTGTTTCTTTACCACTGATGATATTCTGGTGAGCAGCCAGTGTTTTACAATGGTACTAATTCAACTTTCACCACTGTAAGCCATTTTATTGGTTGTTAAGAGGTCACAATTCTTGATCGACTTTGCACAATGATGAAAATTCCCTTAAGCACATTTTGGAAACTGACGAAGAGCAGACGATTATGTGTTTATTTACTGCATCTGAGACATAGTAAATGTTTCTCCTATGTCCACTGCTTTTCATTGGTCACTATGTTGTACTTCTACTGTACTTGGAGTTGTGGTGAACTCCAACAGCTAAAAGGTAGCATGTGTTTCACAAGAAAAAAAATAGAATAATTTTATGTATAACTTTTATGCTACACTTCTTCATACACACTGTGTGAACATATACCTTCTCTGGCCTAGATATTCACAGTAATCCCTTCAGAGAAGCTTTAATAGTCATTACTCAAATATGTTCCCCTGCAGTTCACCCGGAATTCAGTATTCTCATTTGTTCAGTAACAGAACAATAACAGGATCCTCCAACCCTACACCCCTGTTGCCAGCGAGCTATTTTCCTACTGGTTGCTAGGTAAAATATCTTGCTTTACATTTTTTCCCCCTGTAAAATGTCACAGCAAACTTGATCTTGACGGCAAAGTGCCATCACCATAGTCTATCATAACACTGGCCTGCCAGGGCATGACACTTTCAGCTTTTCCTTAATGGTACCAGCATGGAGTTGCGGCACAGCATTTCCCCATAGCAACACACACATATACAAGCATTAGAGAGCTCATATGAACATAACCTTTAGAACAGAGTCGTGACTGTAATAAATGTAGCATACATTATTACTGGAAGAAAACTATAAAATAAAGAAAAAACAAGGCATTTGGTTTCTCAATTTTCGGCATATCACTTTAGATTTTATTCATTTCAAAAACAATGACATGATAAACAGGAGTAGGATGCAGGCAACTAGCATGGTTAAAATAAACTGTGGTACTTTAATCAAACACATCCAGCCATTAAGGCTGTTTCAAATAAAGGAGATTCGAAATATTTCATTTCATGTGTTACATCTGTTATTATTGACAAGACAGAAACATTGTATAATGTATGTTAATGCCAGGGCATTTGGGGATTCAAGTGCGGTACTGAAATTCCCAGATCAAGATCCAACTCCTAAAACTGTTTTTTAAAAAATTGGTTAAAGAAGGATTTTGCAGGTTGATTAGTGAGGTAGAAGACTTACTTGACACAGAATTTGCTACATATACCTTAAAATGATGATGTGACTTTAGTTATGAGATCGCCTAACAGAAAGAATCGATTGTAAAAAATAAAGTTTGTGGCAAAATTGTTGTAACCTAAAGCATTGACCAATAAGAAGTTTGGTTTATCAGGGGAAAGTCCTACCTGACACAGAAAATTGCCTTTATATTTTGATGATACACTTAAATGTAATCTCAGAAAAATTCTTTGGGCATTTTCTAGACTTTGGGAGCCTTCTTAAGGAAGGTTTGTATTATGCATTATTTCATATTTTTTGTTTCTTACTACCGTATATTCTGGCATATCAGACAACTGGGCATATAAGACGACCCCCAACTTTTCCAGTTAAAATATAGAGTTTGGGATATACTCGCCGTATAAGACTACCCCTCTTCCAACAGACACCAAATAAATTTTTTAAAAGCATCAAATTTGATGTCAATATGGTAATTTTCCTATTACTGTACCTCCCTCTCTGCCTCTCAGATGCGCACCTGCACCGCTTCACTGCAGTCTTCAGGAGTGAGATCTGAGAGGCAGAGGAGGAGGTACGGTAATAGGATATAAGGGTGGGCCAGACAGGTAAACGAATTGTGTTTTTCTGGGCCCAGAGCCACTCTATCTTTTTTTTCCATACCCCGGGCGCCCTGGACACCTGCAGTTTTCTCTGCCTTTCACTTACATGTTCCCGGGGAGGCGCCCCTTCACCTCACCATCGGGACCGCATTAAATCCACGAATCCTGATGAATGGATTTTCTTCAACTGTACTTGTACAGCGTCGCCCTTAATGCTTTCATACAGTTGCTGCATACGGCAGGGATGTGGCCACTGCCCTCACAATATGCAGTAACCACAGATTCTCCAATCCAGATTGGAAGTTTCCGCACCCGCTCTATAAGACGACTCCCAGTGTATAAGACTATTCCCACATATAAGGTGACTCCCATGCATAAGGCTACTCCAGCGTATAAGACGACTCCAGCATATAAGACGGCTCCTGTGTATAAGATGACCCCTGACTTTTGAGAAGATTTTCTTGAGTTAAAAAGTAGTCTTATACGCCAGAATATACGGTATTCCTTCCTGTAAGAGGGAGAGTTTGTTTGGTTCAGAGCTTGACAAACTCTACAGTCCTGCTTTCTTTTAATGTCTTCTCTGTGGATTTTGTTTATTCTACTGGGTTTAGATCTCCTTCAAAGGTTTCAGAAACATGTTGTCGGCTCTCCTGGGGAGGACCCTTAGTTTGGCATATTTAATATTTATAATAAGAGTTGTTAACTCAATGAGCATTGAGCTATTTTGAATGACCTGATTAGTCCTGCATCCAATTTTTGTAGTATTCAGAGCATTTTCAAATCTGAGACTATTTTAAGGACCTTTAATACGTTTTAAAATGGAAAGTTTTGTATCACATAGGCTAATATGCTATGGATAATGTGTATATATTTTCTCCTAGGTGGGAAAAAACCCTTTCATGCTTAAAAATGCACCTTAATTTAATACTGTTCAGTATATTATATATAGTAGTAAATAAAGTAGTAAACTGGTTATGTGCCAAAAAAGAGCTACACGTTACAAGGCAATTACAACTTTGACACAAAAGTAAAACATGTTTTCCAGTATCTGAAGGCAATTCACAATCATTTCCAAAGTATTTGTGAGATTTAAGGCCATTTGTTCTAATTTAAAGTTTTGACACAAATACTCACAAAAATGTGAACTTCTTGTAAAAACTGTACATGCAAAAACATTTGATAATTGGAATAAGAACAGGCATATCAGAAAATACTTGAGTATTTCTATACACAAAGTTGTGCACAAAGCAACATTGCTGTGCAATTTTAACTCCGTTAATTAATATATTACCACTCGTGTGCCTATGTGGCAGTGTGACAATGTCAACGGCCAACTCAAAATGAGCCAGCATCCCTTTTGAGTGCACAACACAGACAAACTTCACATCAAATGGCAATTTGCATAAGAGCTTTATGTTACTCATAACAAAATACCCACCTGCAGAAAACAATATGACGCCAAAGTTCTACTGTATGCAAGCTACTCTACACATTACACAAACTCAGCTATAAGACTCAAAAGTTATTTGATGCAGCCATTTTCTAGGATTACACTTTGTTGATCAAATTTATTTTGCCAGCATAGTCAGTCTTAAAAAAATGTAAACACAAGTTCTTTCAGTAACAGTAATTCCTCGGAAAAATACATATTGTACACTATTCACATTTTGGAAGCTTATTCTCGAATATTTCAGATGCATTCTTAACTGAGCACTTGGTGAGGTGTTTCCATTAGCAAGACCTATGAATGCATTTGTCCCATGTCCCTGTCTACTTTCCACCCTTAGTCCGGCATTCGTATTTGTCTGGACAATCAGTCAGAGAGATATTGCTTCTCTTGTGGATATTACTATTGCAAGATAGAAGACAATTTGATATTCCAAATTCTTATGATTAATTATAAAAAAGTAGTTAAATTTGAAAAGTAGTAACATGTAAACATTGATACATATGAATTGCATTCACATTGTATGTACATTATAAATCAGGAAAGACAAAGGACTTCTGAATAGAACCTGTGATTTGTGCTTTCTCCAGAAATGTGACAATATCCTTTTCTGTCAGAAATTAAAAAAACAAGAACTCACGAACAGACACCACCATTTTGCTCCTCATACATAAAAGCTGCTCAGTTGCGCATGCAACCAGATTTGACATTTTGGTTTATGAAGGTTTATTTATTTTGCTCCAAAGCCCACCATAATCTCCTGCTGCATACAAAGTTGAAGACTTGGCCACAGCTTGTTGGCCCATCAACGTGCATCACTGTACTCTAGCACTTCTTTAGCAGTGCTTTTGACCTTTGAAAATCACTAAGCATCCAGTGTGGTCATATCTGAGTCTGCACTACATGAATAGGTGGTGTATACGGAGGCGGTGCAGGAGATGGCTTGATTCCTCTGACTCTCATGTAGGAGAGAAATTGGTCTGGGATTTCAGCTAACACATCTCTAGCAAGTCTGGCCATACTTAATATGTGGTTTCCACTTCTGTCAACGTAATCTCGGAATGGTACAAACTGAAATGAAATGGGGAAAAAGTCTTCAGCATTACTTATGTCCCACTAGACAGAATTAAAACTTGTGTTTCAAAATAGAATAACATTTTTTTTAAAAAATAACATCCAATAAAATAACTGAGAGAAAGAAATTGGTAGCATATGATTTTGTACACTAAGGCTGGAGCTACATTGCCATATAATCCAGTTTCAGAATGCAGATTAACTGCATTGAACTGGGCAATATGAGTCTACAATGGCATATAATCCAGCTCAACACAGATAATCCACATTCAGAAATTGGATTATATGACATTGTAGATAGGGATTAAGTTGAGTCCCTCAGATGCAGATTTACGGCTTATCTATACAGGCCTAATAACCTGTAATCACTATGCATTCGATCCTGGATGTCTCCATGATGTTTTTGAACCTTGCAACTGGCCCCTGAAACTCTGGAGCAATTTGGTGCATTGTGAAAAAGCAGGACTGGGCTCGATTCTGATTTGGTGCAGTGTAGACATCAGGATTGGGCCCAATTCAGACTAGTTCACTGTTTAAACATTCACTTCTACCAGCGCAGGGAAAAGGGGGTGGATTAGGCCCCTCCCTCTTCCTGGTTGCTTGGACACTTCTCCTTATGTCAGTATAGGGTGCACATGATGATCAGGAGCTGAGAATGGTGACTGAGACAAGGACAGTGATGAGTAAAAGAGACTGACGGGGTCTTGGCTCACCTGAACTCTGAGTCACTACAGCAGTGAGTTCGGGACAGTGCATGTAGCCATCTCTGGGGGTGCCCCGGATTTACCGGCAAGTGTGGATGATGAGGCCTTAGTTTATGAAAGCTTATGATACCAACTCTGTTCTCTCAAACATGCTACAAAATCCCTTTGAATACTAATATTCTAGGGCACTCTTTTTCGACACACATAATTTTGTGACATAGTAATTCAATTTTCTTAGCAAACCAGAGGTTGAATCAACCCCTTATAAGAAATACAGTTATAAAGCTGTGTCCTCTAACGGAACTAGCAGAACAGAGACTGGGAATAATTCCAACACTAAGTTGGAAAAACCTCTCAAATCCTTCCTCAAATCACCTCTTATAAAATGTATGTTATAAAAACCTTGCTGAAATGGCAATATATTAAAAACTCAGAAAACACAATACAACATACTTAAGAAGGATTCCCACTAATATGCTTTAGAGGCAACTGACAAAACCTCACTGTTTATTCATTGCATTCTATAATTTTTCAGTGTCCTTTCCAGCATGGAAAAGCCAAGGGTATGATTACATGAGCGGTAGCAAAACACACACATAGATGCATGAACAAAACTTGAAAAGATCTGCTAGACAGAAGCACTTTTTATCTTACCTGTACAATATCCCTTTCTGCATATACTCCTCTTGAAGACAGTCTTACTTCATCACCATCCAATTTTTCCATGGCTTAAAAATAATGGTAAACATATGCATTACTTTCATTTTGAATTTCATCTCATTAAATAAATATGAAAAAAGACAATTTTTCTGTTGCCAATTTTTCCCTGAAAACCCAGGTCAACTTATACACAGGTCAATGACAGGAGTTAGTGGTAATTGGGGATATTCAGGGAGTCTGTTATGCTTTGGATTGAGGTGTCAAGGGGGTGAATTGTCAAAAGAAACTCAGCAAACCCTTTCTGGCTTGAGAGGCAAGAGGTCAACCCATCTTGGAGAGAAGGAGGGAGGATATCAAGGTTGCAAGAAAGGCTCTGGAGTTTGCCTCTGTATGCCTCACTCTGGGAGGAGCTTTCTGGGTGGCTTTTCAACAATCCATCCTCTTGACTCTTCCTGGTGGCCTGATCTGGGCTTGGTGCCTTCCCCTCTCTCAACTCACTTTGCCACAGTTTGGTTACCTCCTCATTCATCCAGACTTTAGGCTAAAAATGAATACTGTATATACTCAAGTATAAGCTGACTCAAATATAAGCCGAAGCACCTAATTCTACCACAAAAAAAAACTGGGAAAACTTATTGACTCGAGTATAAGCCGAGGGTGGGAAATGCAGCAGCTACTGGTAAATTTCAAAAATCAAATAAGATACCAATAAAATAAAATTAATTGAGGCATCAGTAGGTTAAATGTTTTTGAATATTTACTGTATTTCAAAATAGTAAACTAGTTCTGTAAGTGGAAAAGCAGGGTAAACAAAAACAATATAGTATCAACAATAACTATATAATAATAATAATAATAATAATAATAATAATAATAAAAACTTCATTTGAATTCTGCCCTATCTCCCCATGGGGACTCAGGCCGGCTTCCAACATAGTAACAGGCAAACATTCAATGCCTATATAAACAATGCAGAGCTAGATATAGATCTATAATTATATATACTAATCTCATATACATATTTTCCCCTGAAACATTTTCAAATCCCCTCTCTATATATGTGTATTTCTCTTCTTTAATATTTACAAGCCTTTAATAACTATGTTTATATCTATCTAGACATCAGTGTGTGTGTGTGTGCATTTCCACTGCAATATTTGCAAACCCTATATATCTATCTAGACATGTTTATATGTATTTGTGTGTGCATTTCCCCCTGTAATATGATATATCTATATTCATATATATCTATCTAGACATCTCTCTCTATATAGATAATTATATCTATATAGGATTTATAGATATTATAAAGACTTGCAAACATAGATAGATTGATAGATAGATAGATATACAGGTACATGGAAATCTATCTATCTATCTATAGGATTTGCAAAGACGTTCAAATATATGAGAGGAGATTCATATATAAAATTAATATATATAAATAGATATAGGTATATAGGTACATAGGGATTGCTGAGGCTTGCAAGGGGAAATGTCTATATATCTATAGGAGAGATTATCAAATATTTCAGGGGAAAATGCTTTTATAAGATTAATGGATATTCCTGACTTGCAAGGGCTTCTATCCCCCTCCTTTTCCATTTAAAAACATTCCAGCTTGGGAAGAGAAGCAGAGCAGAAGCAGAAAAGAAAACACACTGTTTAGGGAGGGGAAGATGAAAGAGAAATATATATCATATATTGCAAGTAATGGCCTCCAGGCTCCACGGCCCAGCTTGACCCCATTATAAGCCAAGGGAGGATTTTTCAGCTCATAAAAGGCCTGAAAAACCCGGCTTATCTTCAAGTATATACAGTACCTTCTGAATTAAACATTCTTTAGTATAGTTTTCCTTTATTTACAAGACCTTCTAAAATCAGGACACTCACCATCAAATTCTGCTGGTCCAACTCCCACAATTATTATTGACATTGGAAGCCTTGATGCCTTCAAAAAAAGATGCAGAATCATCACTGCATAATTTTCAATACAATGTTTAAATAATTTTAAAATAGACCGTGTCATACATTGTAGTTGGACATTCTAAAATGCCACACTTTAATATGCTGAAATAATGATCTAAAATAGATTATTTGGTTTATTTTCCTCATTTATATCTGCATGATTTAATTTTGAATTAATTACGGAAAGCACACAGAGAATTCTTTCATGTCTTCATTAGAAAATGCAAATTGTATTCGCAGTCATATTTCAAAGTCTTGCCACCAAAATTTAATTATTTCAACCTGAAGTGTAAAAATACATAAAAATCAACTCCTATCTCTCCTCTGCTTTCTTTCATAGTCCATGTGAAGCAACAATTAAGTATTCAACAATATTTTGTGGATTTCATTGTCTTCTGTGTCCTGAAACACATCGTTATGCCTTTGTTATCCAGTGATAAATACTTTATTAATGGTGGGTCCCTGTCTTCTACTTACTTTGACATGCTGTATTACACTGAATCTAGGACACATCTTTCCCCCCAAAATTGAGGCTCCAAAAAGGGGTGCATTCTAGAATAGCGGGTGTCCTAGATTCAAGTTTTTAAATAACATAAAGAGAAATGTGTGAAATACATGTGACCTGGGGATAGGTAGGTGACCATCTCAGAAACGAATGCATTATTACTAAATGTTGAATATTTTGCCTCTGAATTATTATGGATTGCTCAGCATGGATTCTTCTTCAAACTTGTCTCATTATCCTCCTTCAGACTTTTTGAATGACCTTAATATAGTATCAGGCCTCACGATTTAATTATTTTATTTTTGTTAAGGGAAACCCCTAGTTCGGATTGTAACCTACCCACTCCCAAATTAATAGATGTGCACTAGTGAACTCTAAATGTGATCACCTTTTTTTCTTTTATTAATAAAGCAAGTTAATATCCATTAATATGGACAAAACAATCATAATTGTAGTATATAAGAAAAGTGCAAAAGCAGATCCAACCAAAGCACTGAATGAGTGGTTCTGGGATCTTGAGAAAAAAGTAGACAGATTCAAATTAGGTCACTTCTGTCTCAAATGAGAAATAAACAAAACTTAAGAATGATAAAATATTTGTAAGTATTTTTTAGATTTGTAATTACAATTTGAACTTATTTTTACTGACAGACTATGGCACAAATTGGTTAAGCCTGTAATCCATAAATGTTTATTATTGTTTTTAGTCAGGTAGTATATCAAAAAAGGAGCACAAAGATCTCGCAGTGGTCAATTTTGTTTACCAGACTAGATTAATTATGTTTGCAGACAAGACACGCTAGTATTATAGACTCCACTTTATACTTGGCTGATTTCTCCTCTTCTTAACTGACTTTCATTTTTTCTATCAGTAACCTTTTTATTCCTATGCAAGCTGCCAAAGAAATTCTGCTCTGCTTCTTCGCTAGCTCTCAGCGCAATGGAACTTTTCAGTGTTGAAATGCATTCCTACAACAAATTAGTTGCTGAGGCGAGGGAGGGAGGCAGTTGGACA